GGGGGGCGCCTTGCGCTGCATCAGATACTGGTGGATGTCGTCGGCGTCGCGCTTGAGCCAGGCGGCGTTGAGCAGGATGTTCTCGCAGCACTGCAGCACCGTGCGCTCCACCGCCGGCGTCGGGTGACTCTCGAAGAAACTCTGCGGGAGGAGACGGCAGACGTTAGGCTGGAACCGCAGGGTGGAACGGAGGCGGGGGGAGAAGGGACAGGAGGCGCTCCCAACCTTGACTTCTGTGGCCATTTTGTCGATGGCGAAGCCGTCCACTGTCAGCTGGAAGGATGACAGGGAAGACAAGCGTGAATGACGAAAGTCAACGCCGAACAGCCGCAAAGCCATTTGAGCATTTATTTGGCGTCCTCGATATCCGCCAAAAGGTCCGCGGTCAGCTGGAGCTGCGCAAAACACAACCACGCATATCGTAGATAACCACTGGAAAAGGTCAAGCGAGCGGCCCAACCCTCGCTCATTTCGATGCTCGGACTTACTTCCCCCACCGTTCAGGTCTCCGATTTCATTTTTTTTTTTTTTGTTTTTAAGGTTGACCAATAAAAGCTGACGCCAAACGGCTTTTATTCAAGTGTATTTCTCGAGCACTTGAAAACGTCTACAAAAGTGCTGTACGTTGAGCAAAAATACAACAAAAAAATTAACACCCAAAATTAACTCATGAAATGCCAGCCATTTTCACCGGAGCAACCCCCCCTCTCAATCCCAGCGTTTTGACTGGATTTTTTGACTGATCTTGCAAGGCCCACAGAATATTTGGTTCGAATGCGATATCAACATGAAGTTTTTAGGCAGAAAAAAAAAAAAATGGCCAAGTCTCATGAAAATGGCGATTCCTGGGCAAAAAAAAACAAAAAAAGCAAAAAACAAAAACGGAGAAAAAGAGCTTTTTGTAAAAGCGTGCGAGGCACCACTGCCACCTACTGGTCACTTTTTGACATGATTTACAATGCAAAACGGCTTATTCTCCTCCTCCTCCCCCTCAGAATGACGCAAAAAAAAAAAAAAAAAAGACTTAGACGTACAAGCACGTCATTGGTAGGCAGGGCCGAATTTTACTGTCTTGTGGAATGAAAGACAAAATGCGTTCCAACTCAAAATCGAGTCTCATCCGGAGTCAAAAGTCAAAGAATAAAAGAGGACGAGTTTGTAAAAACGGGTGGCTGGGGGGGGTTCATTCCAAAGAGAGGGAGCGGGGAACGCAAAAGGCTCCATCCCTCGCGACCTCGATGACAAGAGCGGCCGCCATAAGTACCAAAAATTCAACATTTTGCCGCCGATAGGCGCCCCCGGTTGCGATTAAGGACCTTGATGAGGCGCGACAAAAGGAAGCCGCCCTGGTAGTGGTTGTGAAGCTCCTCCCAGTTGTCCTTCACAAACTTCCAGGCGGCTTTGCGGCCTTGTTTGCTGCTGCCGGCCACGCCGCCGATCACCGACACCGTGTCCTGAGGACGCACCTCTTCCTGAAGGCAAAACCAAAAGCGCGCGGGGGGAGACGCAAGTTAGCGGGCGAGCGCCCTCCCCCGCAGGCCGTCGGAAAGGGGGCGGGGCTTACCGAGAGGGCGAAGGCGAGCACCCTCTGGATGAGCTCCGGCGCCGAGATGGCGCCGAGCACCCGCTCGATGCGATTCTTTTCTTCCTGCATGTCCGCCTGCTTGTGAAGCTGCCGCGGGGGAAGGCGGAACAAAAAAAAAAAAAAATCAAAACGGCGGCGAGAGCGGCTAAAAAAAATAATTCCAGGGCGGAGCCCAGCCCGCCTTACCCTGAGCATGGTGTCTAACGTGCCGCCGTCGCCGTGCTTCAGCACCGTTAAATACACCTGAAACGAAAAACAGCGGCGCACTTCACATCTATATCTCTCTCTCAATTTTTCACGTCGCCACGGGCGACGGGCTTTTCGGCGTTATACCGCGGCGGCGCTTTTAGCGGCGCTTTTACCGGGCTCCTGAGGTCCGCCGGCAGAACGTGTTTGCCGTCCACGTGCTCCTTGAATCTCCGCCGGGCCTCCTCCAAGGTGGGTTTGTGTCCCGCCTTGCCCAACTTGCCGAGAACCAGGCCCCTCAGCAGGGCGTCCAGGTGGCCTGCGAGGGACAACGCAACGCAACACAACTTTGCTTGGCCTTCGACGAAGGTCTTTTGAAGGAAGTGCATCGAGTAGAGAACAAAAAAGGGGGGAGGTGCCTCGGCATGGGGGAAAAAAAAACGGCGCCGATTCGGGGGTTTGGCCTCGCGGAGCAACGGACGGGTGGCCGACGCCCCGAGCCGCCCCCCCCGCGTGGCCTCACCTTCTCCGGCCTTGCAGTCCCAGCCCAGGCGGAGGCCGATGGGCGTGAAGAGGTCTCGGATGAACTCCTGGATGTCCTCGTGGAAGTCGGTGTGAGACAGCAGCGAAGACAGGACGCCCAGGTTGCAGCTGAGGTCGCTCCACACCGTGTAGTTGGGCTCGTTGACGAAGGCCTCCATCAGACGCAGTACCTCCGCCGTGCTGATCACGCCCGCGCGGGCCTTTTGCCACGACACGTTCCGTTAGTAGAAGGCGAGGAGGAGGAGGGGGGAGCCGCGCGAGTCGCTCTCACCAGGGAGAAGAGGTCGTTCTGAAGGCTGAGGCGGTCCACCGGCAGCAGGCTGAGGTCTCTGATGGCGGGCAGCAGGCTCTGCAGCATGGCCGAGCTGTATTGGATGCGGTAGAAACCCACCGTGCCGGGATTGATCTGGAGGGAAGCGGGCGGCGGGCTGGGTCAGACGGGGCCAAGGTCGGCCGGCGCCCGACGCGGGGCCGGCGCGCTTACCTTGACCCACTGCTCGGGGCTGACGCCTGGCAGGGTGACGCTGGTCTGGGGTTTGTCCAGTAGAACCTGGAGTTTGCTGCAGGTGGGGTCCTTGCTGGTACAGATGCTGATGGGTACCATCCAGTAGGAACAATTCTCACCTGGGGAAAGCCGAGGCCACGCAAAAAACGCTGCTCAGAATTATGGTGGCGGGTTTAAAAATCGTTCAGTGACAGAAAATTCTGGAGCAAGTCTGAAAAGACGTTTCAAAACGTCTTTGGGAGTGAATGAGTTTTGTATGAAATGGAAGCAGAACAAGCGCATTCATTTGCTAATTTTTGGGGTCATTGCAGAATAAGTCCCCCCCCCCCCCCA